CTTTGTGATATTTTTTTAATCAATTCGCCCCAAGTAAAGCGACAATGTCACTGGGTGTGAAAGGGAAAAGATTTTAGAAGGAAACGGAAACCCGATCATGAATAGGGAACAAGGGATAAACCTCTACTCCTGTTCAAAAGACAGAGACGAAGTATGAACCGGACGATAAGTGAACCTATCTACTCCAACACGTATAACTATATTTACTTATATTTGCAATATATCATATAAATTTCTGCTTGTGATATCTATCCTCATTAAATATATTCATGATAAAATGTTTTGGGTGTGCCAAGTTTATGTAAATAAATTAAATGCAACACAATTCCCTATTTATAAATAAATCTAAAAGTTATAGGCCATAAAAAACATATATTTTCTTCACCCAGTCTCACAAATTATTATTTTGATATGTTAATTTATCATTTTTCGTTTATTGATTTACTTAGATTTTCTACTGTTTTCATTTCCAACACTAATTTCTTCCATTATATATTTATTTGTATATTGTTTTCCATTTTTCATATATAACTCTTTTAACGAGCGACCACAAGTTTCATATTGGTCAAAAGTCTGCGGAGACTGGGAGTCATGTCATTGATTTCCTTCTTTGGAACCGTTTCTTTTGGCAAGACTTGTTTTACAGAAAGTGAAGAGGCATTGACTTTTATGGAAATAACTTTTAGCTTAGAGCATATTTAGTTGTGGCCAGGACTAAAAACCTTATAATAATTATCTGCGTTTATATTCAAAGATGCCTAGAATTTTACTGCGTAAATTACAAACCGAAAACATTATTCCATCTCTCGTCTTGCTAGAATTTAAGTCATGTTGGCTGCCTATTTTCATAGAGGGCACAAACTCCCGACCGGTCAGCAGGTTCATTGAATGTAGCTCTACATTTATCAGTAAAAATTATTGAGAAATCAATTTTCATGTACTTCTTTGGACAACTTGTAGATTTTTCTTTGTGATATTTACTTAAAGTTGGTAGTTTGGTTGCTTTCACGTCCTTAACCCCTGTTCTAAATATTCTTTTTTTTTTCTCTTAATACGTCTATTTCAACAGCTTCTCACAATATTTTCTTGTTGGTCAATCAATTTTTTCATGCTTATTACCCTTTCAATCATTCTCAACATCTATTTTAGTAACATTCCTAAAACCAGGGGAGTTGGTTTTATCTTGCCAATTTTAAAAAAATTATCTTTTGGTTGTTTTGTTCGACATTCACACAATTTCAGTCAATTTACAAAATATTTTATTTTTCTAACGATCCCTTGAAATCATTATGAATCCCGAATGATTAACAATAGCAAAGGTTTTGTTTAAAAAAAATTCCAAAAAAAACCAAAAACCAAAAACCAAAAAAAACAGAAAAGAAAAGTTGATAAGGGTATATCTGTAATATGAAACTTTTAAGGCAAGCAATCTTTGTAATTAAATTACTAAATATCAAGAAATAGAACATTAATGGTAAGAAATAAATTGAAATGTTCACTTATCAGTATCCACTTTGAGTTTTCCGGAGATTACTTCCACTAATCAAATTAAAAATATATATGAATAACAATAGCATTGTATATATTTATTTACAATATGTACAACTCACGTGTTGAATAATAATATCTCATATCAAGAAATAAATTATTATAAATATTCCCAATATACATATTTTATAAACTGAAAGTGACATGATATATTGCACATATAAATATATGTCCTGAAAATGTTACCGATATCAATTGGTTAATATCAGTTTTATTGTCCAAACATTGACTTGCATAATAAAATCTGACATTTTGTAGAAATTCTAGAGTGAATCAATTTATTACTTAATAACAATAGAATATCGATCTCCCATTTTATGTCCAGTAGAAACGTGTATTTAATGTAAGTATATCCTGAAAATGTTATCGACATCAACAGGTTAATACTAAGTTTATTGCGAAAACTTTGATTCACACAAAAATATTTGATATAGTGTAAATTTTAGATGTAGAGCAATCGTCACCACGCTTGTTCTGTTAATTTGCTAATGTATATAAGTTAATTCAACACTAATCTCCTCATTACTGTGACCTTGTACCAGACTAAGTTAAGGAAAATAGAAGAGAAAGTAAGAGGGTAAGAAGGTAGGCATAGAAAATAGAGGAAAAGATGCAAATGAAAGGAGAAAGGAAGAAGTGAGAGTGAAAGAGAGAGAGAAAATGTCGGAAAAGGAGTAGAAAAGAGCGGGAACAATAGGTAAAGAGAGAGAAGGAGAGGAAAATAGAAGAGAAAAGGAAGGATAAAACAAAGGAATAAACGGGTGAGAGAAAATATGAGTAAGAGACTTGACATGGAAAGAGAAAGGAGAGGGAAAAAGGGAAAGAGAAAGAGTGAAGGAGAGAAAGAGTGAGTGGGAATGTGAAAGAAAGAGAGCCACAAAGGGGAAGAGTGAGAGTAATAGAAAGGAGAAGAGAGAAAATGGAGAACAAGAGGAAATGAAAAAATGAGGATGAGAGTGAGCGAAAGGGGAAAGGAAAGGAAAAGCGCGAGGAAGAGGAAGTGAGAGTAAAAGAGAACAAAGTAAAAGAGAGGGTAAAAAAGAGAACAAGAGGAAAATAGAGAAAGGAAAGAGGGAGAAAGAAAGAGGGAAAGTGTGAGGGTGAAATAGAATGAAGGAGATGGGAGGACAAGAAGGAAAGGTAAAGAGGGAGAAGCAGAGGAAAAGAGAACAAAAGAAACGGGAAAACTCCCATAACGCTAACGTATAAACAAAACCTGAGGCAAGTGGGAGGCGCAAAAGTAAATTTGATATGGGGGTGGGGGCAAGTAAAGAAAGTGTCATTGGAAATCACTAACCGGTTAAACTAATTTAAATAATTAAATAAATTATGAAATTAAAATAACTAAAAGAAATCCTTTCAAACAAGATAAAAAAAAAATCACCCTTAAATTTTTATAAATTCCCATAGGCTGAATCAAACAGCTGGCGGGTTGAATTGAACATCAATCTGGGGGATTCTCCTCCCCGTGATGGACCTGCTCCCTCTATTATTCGGTTTTAGTGTCGACACGACCTTCCACGCAATGCAGTAACCAGCCACAAGACTCGCTGAACAACGTTGAGCGAGCACGGCCTTGAATGAAGCACTGAATTCTCTCGTTCCTCCTCTCATTGGATACAAGGAATTGATATATACTTGCCTATGTTAGGTGTGGTTAATAACAACCCTTGGTCTCTGTAGAAAGAATAGCATTCGACAACGTTCGACCAACCTGAGCACTATGCAGCTATTGTATTTCTTTACGTTAGCCTTTCTCTGTATAAATGCAGTGTCGTCTGCTTCGCAAGTAAGTCAAAATGTTTTGCTTATTTTATTTTTAATTTTTGTCGATATCTTTTTAGTCGAGTTTTTTAAATGTAAATATTTATGACACGCCTATGCAGACGTGTGCGTCTCTCCAATATTTTGCTGCGTTTCTCATAAATTTTGCGCTTTTTTCCCTTCCCGTTTCAGCATTTTTTTATTTATATTTTTAAAAAATATATTTATGTTGTATTTTTAAAAGTGGATTCGTAATATTAAGTATTTTATCTTTGTAATTTAAACATCTCGAACTGATTTTTTACGATAAGTAAATAAATAAAATAATATGCAATTTATTTACTTTACAACTTATTTTATTGTAGAATTCTTTTTTTTTCTGTTGTTAATACGAGTATAAAAATAACTACCCACAGATAAAAACACCAGGTTTTCGCATTTTTCACTTTCATTCATTCATTCATTCATTCATTACTCGGTGCAAATTTTTCCCGCTTTTTAATTTTAAATCTTAATTTTTTTTTAAGGTGCGAGTTATTTGGAAATATACCACTTGGTTGTTGTGCTGAAATATTCTCAGCCCAACCAAGAAAGAATTTTAAAAAATTCTAATTTTTCGGCTTTTTGTGAAGTGGTAGTGAATCTATAATTTTTTAGCGTCTTTCGTAAATAATTTTTTTGTTTGAAAGCAGAAAGTTCCTTTCGAGTATTTTATGATAATTACATTTTCCTGATAAACACCTGGAACTTTCGTCGCTTGGCTTAGGACATTCACAGAACATTGCCGCAGTAAACTTCGCGGAAATACTCAGAAAAGGAAAAAAAAAAAAAGAAATCTTTAATAAAAAAAAAAAAACTTATTTTCCTTTTTCCAGTATTTTCTATACTTTTTTTTTATAAAAAACATTTTCAAAACGAAACTATACATAATTAAATAAAAGGTAATCATTAATTGAGGTAAATTTTGATATTTCAAGATTTATTCTGATAATTTGGAGTTTAATTTTTGTATAGATGGATTAGAAAACAAGAACTCTCCAAGAGAAAGTCATATTAATCTGATATAAATTTAAAATCTTTCTTCTTCTTTATTGGTTGATATTATGAATAGTGACCAGAAATATTGCAAGGATCCACATAATTCTGGTTTTAAAACCTATTCAAATTAATTCTCATTATTTGTGTAATTTAATTTTATCCTTTTGCTTTTTTATCACTTTTAATGAGCATCACCAACCTATCATTTGGAAAATTCCCTTCTCAATCCTACAAACCGCTAAAGAGATTTTTCTCATAGCTTTTTTGTTGTGATTGTATCAGGAGTGTGAAATCAACACAGTGGCGTTGATTTCTGTGTTCACATTGTTTGTATCTAGAAATGCTCAATCTCCTTGAGCACTCTTACCCCATGAATAAACACATCCTGAATAATATATATATATATATATATATATATATATATATATATATATATATATAGTGATGAATGGTTGTGCAGAACCAATCACTGTTTTTAGAAGAGTCGAATACAGAGAACTGGTGCACACTATGCTACAAAGTACTGAAACGACCCTCCACAGGTTTTTAATTCAGAGTTGTCCTTCTTCTAGACTGTCCACCACTCAAGGCTAGAGGACACAGTGTGTCCCGCTATTTACCCATAGCTGGGTGGGGGAAGAAGAGATAGTTTCATACCTTTCCCAAGGGTACTTGCAAGTAAGTGAATGTAGTACATACAACCAATATTAATGTAACGAACTCGAATGGAATTCAAATTCGGCTCCTCGAATCCTCAACCCGAGCCGCTAGCTATTACTCTACCGCGCCTGTCTATCTATCTATCTATCTATCTATCTATCTATCTATCTATCTATCTATCTATCTATCTATCATGCCAAAAAGCGTGGTTGGTTTTACACAAGCCTTCACCACTATAATCAAATGATATGTGCGTGTAGTCTGGCTGTTGATTCAAAGAACTCAGCTGCTTGACCCTCATACATCGAGGGAGTCCAATATATATATATATATATATATATATATATATATATATATATATATATATATATATTAGTTATAGTCTTGTTTCGTGCTGCTGTTGTTTACAAATTAACGGCAGTTAAGAAAACTTGCTGACAACATTTATTTCATTTCAGTAGGAGTTTATAATTTTCGAAATGAAATCCTCGAAAGCAGCGAATATTTTTGTCGGTATTATTTTTAAAAATCTGCAAAACTTCGAATACCGTTTGGCCCGACATATGAATCCTTCATTCAAGGAATTTCGTTCCTCTTCATTAATCAGAATATCTCCCGGGAAGTATTTGCAAGGAAACATGTAGGGTACATTTTTACAATGGAAAAGAAAAAATAATCTTGTAAAAAATGTCTTGAGAAATGTAATAAACAAAGGACTTGATTTAAAGTAATTTAATGAAAATTTAATTTAAACATCTACATAATCATTTGTATTTCTTCTCTGCTCTGATTGCTGGCAAAACAACATAAAGTTGTCGGTTGTAAATATTGGTTATGATAAGTATATTGGAGTCCATTTTCTTAAGTGTTTCCTGCAGCTATGTTTATGGACATTCGGTATCGTGGAAAATAATTCCATCAGAATGCAACCGATATTAAACCCGTGAATAACGTCCTAAATATTCTAGAACAATAATAGTAGGCATAAGTGAGTGAGTGGGAGATAAAGATGTACAGACAAACATCTTCATAAATATATATATATATATATATACACACATAAATATATATATATATATATATACACATAAATATATATATATATATACACATAAATATATATATATATATATACACACATAAATATATATATATATATACACATAAATATATATATATATATATACACATATATATATATACTTAAATATATATATACATATATATATACTTAAATATATATATACATATATATATATACTTAAATATATATACATATATATATATAATTACATATATATACATATATACGTATATATGCATACATATATATATGCACATAAATATATATATATATATATATATATATATATATATATATATATATATATTATATAGATTTCTGGTTATGCGCACAATCCAGAAAGAAAAAAAAATAGTAGAAAACTCTTCTTTTTGTGCCGTGTCCCCCTTGGGGCGTAGGCGATCATGGTTCTCCACAACTTCCTCACCCTTGTAGCTCTTAATAAACTTTATCTTTCTGTTATTTCTCCTAAGCCCTGTTCCGCTATTCATTTACTTAAGCTCACTCAGGTATATTATGCATTGTTTCCCTTTGTCCCTCTTACCTTCAATCTGTTCCGTGAGTATCGGATTTTACAAGTCCGCCTTCCTCCTCATTATTTGACCCAGAAGCCTCAACTGTCTCTTCTTGATGTTACGTATTAGTTTCCTTTTTGTTTCCATTTTCTCTAAAACTTCGTTGTTGCTCACATGCATGGTCCAAGGGATCCTCAGCATCCGTCTGTAGAACCACATTTCTGTTGCTTCAAGTCTCTTTTTCATAGTCAGAAAGTTAGCGAGTAAGTCGAAGTTTAAAGAAAAGTGATGAAAGTTCACAAAAAATATTCTTATCTTAAGTTACACAAACAAACACACATACACGCACACACGCAGAGGCGCGTGTGCGTATAGGTGAATATTTTATTTGTGCTTAGAAAATTATCGCAGGTACATTTATTTTAAACACAAACATTATTTTTGATTTAATAAAAACAACAGAAATGGAAAAAAATCAAGAAAAACTGAATTTGATGATATATTACGATCATCCCCCTCTCCCCAAAATGGTTCAAAATTGTCTTTCCGGTTTATATGTGAAGTTGAAATATCTTGTCGATTAATATTTCCCCAGATCCTTTAGGTTATCAATACATGTACCAAACGTAACTAAATAATATTAACTAGTAATCTTAACTAAATAGTATTAACTAAGTAATCTTAACTAAATAGTATTAACTATATAATATTAAAAGTAAACGGGTGGGGACGGAGAATCTTATATGGTAAGAAATCTGGAAAGTGTAAATTGGAAATTATATCTTTCTTCACTTCACTTTTTGCAGGTGATACCATAAATTTACGAAAATATCACATTTATTCATAAAATTGTTTAAAATTAAAGACTTATGGAAAGGTTTTTTTTTTTTTTTTTTTTTTTAACGTTTTGCAGCGGAATTTTACACGAAATTTGAAATTCAGTCATTTTTTTTTTGAGGAACAATATTTGGCCAGTTTGAAAAGAAATCAATATTTTCAACAAAAAATTTCTAATTTAAGGATAACTATATATAAAAAAAAATTCAGTCACCTATTTGTCGAAATTTTAACACGGAGCCAAAAACGCAAACTTCGATCGAAGTACTTGAGTTGATGAAGGAATTTAGATTTTTTTTTTTGTAATATAAATAAAACCAGGTAGAATAAAATATTTGATCTTGTAAACAATGATGGATCCCTGAAGTATCAAGTACGTCAACTA